TTGTACTCCTTTTCCAGGAGGTTCTATTGGTTCTGCACTTCTGAGAGGATTGGTCGCATACGGCTGAAAATTTCGGATTATTCTTACAAAACGAAGGATCTTCGACTTTGTTCTACGTGGTCATTTCCTACGTAAGTTCTTTCGCATTTCTACATATTCTACATATTTTGCCGCCATAGATATGGAGGTAACTTCGGTCAGACCATCTCCGCTTAACAAGACACCATTCTTTGCATTAATCCCTCTTTTAGTTTTATCATCACTCAGCAATCAGCGTTCGCTTCGGAAAGCTAGCAAAATATGAAGAGGATAGATTGACCATCACACAGAGTTACTATGACAGGTCTTTCAACGAGCCTCAATCGCGGTATGGGATCAATTGCTGTTATCAAATCTGTCCACGTAGAAGTAGCCCTTTGCTCATATTGACAAATCCAGAGTATAAGACAAAGGTAACAACGTGCTGCTGTATAATCTTGACTATAATTATTCTGTGGAGTATGGCGGACATGAGTAAAACAACCAAGTCTCGTTTCAAATATCGAATTAAGACCAGACAAATTACAACAGCTACGACATAGTGACGGTCGTACGAGGGTCGAATCTGTGAGGCTATCGAACCCATACATTCCATACTTCGGAATCAGTTCATAAATCCCTCATTGTTAAGGAGGCAAACACTCATTGGACATCGGTCGAGCCCACACTTCCCTGTACAGGCCATATGCACAACTTTCAAAGCATCGCTGCGATTCTCAATGCTAGTCAAATGCGTGGGCTCCTCCGCAAACGGGATCGATCAACGCCGGAAGCGAACAGTCTCTCTTTCTCATATACGACCCCTCTTATATCTCGAATGTGGTTAGGTATTGTTCATTTTTGGTAGGATACCCGGATTTTCGTTACATTTTAGGGGTTCTTGAAAACTGCTGAGCTGGAAAACATACCGCAGATTGCTGCTTCGATTTGGCCGCAGAACTTCTGAAATTGTTACTCAAAAACTTATGTTCGATTAATGAAGTGTTTATGAGATTGTGACTACAGAGAGGGCGAGGCTTGGCAGATGTGGTAAAAGAGGGATGAGTAGACATGTAGACATGCCATTGGCTGAACTCACTTGAGTTCATTTTCTTGAGTGGCATGTTCCATTAAGGAGCTTCCCATTGTTTCGTCCAGCGCCACTGTAAAAAGGATAAAAGGGTAGCAAAAAACGCTGAACAGTAGAAAATGCTACTAGGTAATCATCACTATTCGATTCTCTTAGTCCTTACTAGACTGAGACGAAAGAATTACTGAAGGGTACATCGGCCTGCCCAGTAACACACGGCATACACGAATGGAAGATTGATTTGACTGAAGTGTTGTTGACTGCTGATTTTCCTATTAAGGTTGGCGAGTTATGAACTGAATTCCTCCCTCGGACGAGACTCGAACCCACATCCGGGCACCGTGCTCTTATCCCTTACACTGCTGCCCTGCTTG